CATTATGGTGGTCTGAAGACGATGAAGCCCCTATAAATGGTGGAGAGGATTCAATTGAGGATTTGCAAAGAAGCAAAAATAATTCTATCATGCTCATTTAGGGGCAATATGCTATCGGCTAATTCCTCTGTATGCGTCAATTCATCTTCTGTTTCTTTCTCAGCGATTTGAAGACAGCAAGACTTATTGAAAATTTAGTATTCGTCATATTCTTTTCTGAAGACTTTCCTTATTCCCTTGCAAAATTTATGTGTTGATGCTCAGCAATTTCCTTGACATTTCTTTCCGATTTTCATGGCTTATAAATGTTTCTAATTGAAGCTTACTTAAAAATACGTGGCAATCGATTCACAGCTCAACTGGCGAAAGCAAACAATTAGGTCTCATAAGGTATTTAGCACATCAAGTTATATCATAAAATATGTTTAATAGGTACTTAGGTAGTTGATTTATTTGTTTCATAGACTGGACATATACTCTATCTAACTAAGTACGTCAGATTTGACCAGAAAACAAAGTTTTAGTTGTACAGCTTGCTTAGTCATAAAGTTTTAGTGCGATAGCCAACAGTGGACTAGGTATAAGTATCTCAGTCTGAATAAAGCCTTTGGTGAAGCTTTAAGACTAGGTCTACATTTCATTTTATCTAGCATTTCAGATTACGCCAGGAAACAAAGATTCAGCAGCCTATGTTCCAGACCCCTAACTTGAAAGTTCCCAAACTGCCAATTTCTTCCAATTTTCATGCTGGTATCACAACTTGCAGCGATATTTTTAGAATAAATCCTTTTTGGGCAGTGGATCGAGTACATCAGTCTAAAAATAGCATTTGGGGCTTGTTGTTCATCTTGTTCAGCGCCCAAAATAGCATCTTGTTCAGCGCCCAAAGCTACCCTTGTGGACGAAGTTTCATACTGGTATCCGATTTTGCACAATATTTTGGCTAACAGCCCTGACTAATATAGACAGGGAATTTACTGTAACAATTTAGCAAACTGGGTAACCGAAATTTTTGAAGTGGATATGACTTTTATGATGGTTGGTAGTCAATTTAAGCCGTGGGCACATTCTCGAAAATTTGTTGTTGTCACGTGATCGATGACGTAATTATTCCCCGGTCAGTAATATATTAATGACAACATTTTTAAAATCTAAGTATTCTATTCGAAGAACAATGCAAAACTGAGTCAAAAATTATAAAACACTTATATTGTTTGACTTATTGTTTCGAAATTATAGATGTTTGAACTTTATATGACGTCATGAAAATGGCCGCCACTGGATTCTGTAAAGTGCAATTTTTCTTCGTGTGCGCTATACTAAATCAATTCTTAGCAACCAAATTGTTTTGTAAACATACAAGTTAGGTTTCAGTTATGCCGAGATAAGCTGCCCTCTAAGTCACCATCCTCTAACATTATAGTTTACAAACTTAAGGCAACCATTCATCCATTGAGTCCGCACTAGACGAAAAGTCTGAAACTTCCCATTCACTTTCGTGTTCATCGATTATTGAAATGTCCGAACCATCATTGATTTCTTCTCTTGTCATTTCGCTATCCCCATCATAATCCATATGTGTACTGGGCAATGCATCTCTTTGATGGTGTTTTCTCTTCTTTGAAGTGTGTTTTTGGCCCTTAATTTCATCATCACTCATCTCCGCATCGCCATCGTTGTCATAGTTGAGATTCTTTGCTGTTTTTTTCTGCTTGTTGAAAGTGAAGGAGGCAACTGCTTGCCTTTAAACCAGATCGGAACTTCAACCTGCTTTTCCTCGTCCCATTTCCAGCCGTGATTTCCAAAGCTAACTGTCTCAATGTTAACTTCACAACAGCGGACCCAGTGGAACACTTGATAATTTGCTCGTCTGATGGCTTGCTCAACTGAATCTGGACACAGAATAGATATCTATTCTGTGATCTGGATCAGGAGGAATTGACGATGAAGACCAGGGCCGTCGCTAGCGGGGGGGGGGGTGCGGGGGTGCGGCAGATTTCTTGTCGGCAAATTTTCCCCCCTGGAAAATTCTTGTCGGCAAATTTTCTAAAAGTAGAGTTTTGTCGGGTTTTGCTTTCAAAGTTACCAAAGCAATAGTTTCAGCGAACAGTAGGGATAAGATGAGGATGTGAACTTAAATGTATTGCCCAAAAGCCCTCAGCAATTCAAAACAGGAAAAGATAGCGCTTTAGGTGTCACGGAGGGGCAAATGTCCCCCAAAAACTTCAAATGACTCCCTTTCGGCAGCCTGAGTCTAATGTCCAACATCCAGGGCGACATAATTTCTACCTAAAGTTTGGGATTTAGGGAAGGGTCAAAGTTTATTGCGAAACTCTGAACGTTGATCCTAGAGGTACTGGAAGCAACTGTAAGCTGGAAAGGGGGCAAATTGCCTCAGGGCCTTGAGGTCGAGGGGACCTCAAGTAGTAATGAATTCCATTTTAAGAATGAAATCAATGAAACGTAGGTATGCCTAAAAATAGTGAAAAGTTTTAAACGATTGCAAGAAATGACTGCAAGAAATATTCTGAAATGCATTTTAAGACAATCTAAAGGGGGGGGGGGGTCGCAAAAATTTCGTTATTCGTATTTTCTAATATTAGTATGGTTATTCGTATTTTCTTCACTTTCCACCACAGATATCCATGCCATGTTCACGTCCTTCTCTCTTTCCCGTCAAAAGCCTAGACCTATTTATCGCTTACTATAAATTTCCTCTTGCATCCTTTTGGAATCATGTTTTTCGAATGATGACTAGAAACCATAAGTAAACAAATGTTACCAAAACAACGGTTGGATTACCGCTCAGTTTCGAAATAGAGTCGATAGCCCATTTCTATAGCATTACATTGTATTTCACCTTTTTAGGCTTTGCGGAAAAAATTTTTAAAATATTTTGGAGTAACTACTTCGGGACCTCTACTATGTTTTGAGGAATGCCCACATTCTCACTTCATGTGATACAAGATGAGATATTCACGCAAAGAAAACAGCATATTTGATACATTATTTCATAGCATTCTGTGAAGTTTCTCCTAATTTCTTTCAGAATTCTTAGAGATATTTTGCTACAAACACTCGAGTTTGGCACTGTCTTTGATGCTGAAACTGTGGAGTGAGTACAGTGGCAGTTTGAATCCGTTTCTTTACTAAATCGCCATCAATTTGAATAATATTTCAGGTGAGAAAAGCTTGATAATATATCTGTTCATTTGTTTTTTCGTGTTTTACCCATTTTGGCCAGACTGAACCCGGACTGAAATCTGATTGAAACCGGATTGAAACCAGACTGAAACCGGATTAAAGCCAGGTTGAAACCGGACTGAAACCTTACGTCGTTACGTGAACCTAAGCTATTGAATGCCTAATAATTGATAATCAAACAAGCAACCTTCGGTTTTGAATTGTAGAATGGTAGATCCTTGTTTAATTATAGATTGACGATTGGTGCTTATCAATCAATAGTTTTTGTCACTCGTAATTTAGTGTGTTGTACGTCGATGAATTATAACCAAAAAGTAATATATAAATAATGAACTTTGCACATTTGAAAGTTAAATATTATTGTTAGGTTTTGAGCATAACTTCTTTATCATTTTTAACAATTAAATATATAAAGTTATTGTTTGATTTTATCGATTTTTTTCTTCCTATTTTTTAGCATCTCAAAAATTTGATTTTATTGCGAACCTGGTCGAATTCTTTCAAAAAAGTACATCAACTTTAGAGTTGCGCAATTTTCTGATTATCTTCAGTTCGAAATAGGAATTGTCAGTGATCATCTTGTAGAAATGGTTTAAAATGGTTTAAGGCAAATTATCAAAAATAGGTTAACAGAAAAAAATATGATGTCTTAAAATAAAAAACAATATATTGTATCATTCTGTTATATATATATTGGTATATATATTATATATTTCCTAGCGTAGAGTTTTCGATCTATGTTCTGACGTTTTAAACTCTGAAGAGTGTCAGACGAAAAGCTTTAGTTTACTAAATGTTTGCTTTTTTCAAAGCCATTCTGTTACAACAATACAGCTTCAAAACCCCATATAGTACACTCCCGGTCCCTCACGAAAGTATCAGGACAACTCGAATTTATTCGAGAATCTGTTGTTAGAGAAATTTGTTTGCAAATTTCAAAGCTAGTTTTCATGAAAATATTTTTATCAATTTCCTCGAATTTTTTCTTGAAGTCTGTTGGCCTTTAATTCGTTTATTCGTCGATAAAAATAACCGTTCCTATTGATATTAAAAAAATTTGTCACGGTCAAAAAAAGCAAGAGCTATCGCGACGCCAATGGCCGAACGTTCTCCACCCTAACCAAATTTGCGTCAAAAGTGGTTTGCGTCGTTAAGCAAAATTGCATTAAATGTTCACAAACAATTGAACTTTAAAAAGCTGTTGATATATATTGCCAGAAAAAATGATAAAGAATTTTAAATGTATCCGCGTACCGATCGATTTCAGTAAGACTTGCAGCGGTAACAGGGCCCACGCCACCGAAGGGCCGGATGAACGAGCTTATTTGACATCAGTTGATTTGCGTAAGGCTTGTAGCGCAAAAGCCTCTCATTTTAACAGAAAATGATAACGGACAACAAGCGCAGAAGTTTGCAACATTTTAATATCTTGGTTTATTTTGGGAGGGTTTCTCGAAAAATTATTATCACTAAGTTAAAGAGTCTTTATCGCCAGCCTTAATTTGTTTTTGCCTTAAAGCGCAAACGATCTTCGAACTGTCCAGATACTTTCATGAGGGGGGTGTATTCCTTTGTGGCTTCTTCAACTTTTTGCAGGGCAAAATTCTTTTTCGCAGAGCAAACGTTTTTTGAGGGGGTGTCACGCCCTCTTTAGCGACGGTCCTGCCTCTTGCTAAACTATGTACATTGATTAAAAACTTTAAAGCCTTGATTCAATGTTGAAAAGGGGTATGGGTGTAAGTTTTCTCATCGAATGCCCAAAAAAGTCTACAACAACAACGATAATAATCATCTTTTTCATTTCATTTCCATGGAAACAGTTGGAATTTTGTATACACAACAACATTTTTGTTCTTGATGGGAAAAGAAGATGGAGAAGCTTCCGCTCGTTGCAAATAGATTGGGGATATACGAGAATCCACGTCATTTTCCTGGGTAAGAGAGTGATCTGAAGCACAAGCTAATTTAATTAAGCATATGACGGTTAATCAAGTATACGTTTTGTTGATTCGCAACTATCACTACTGCTTCCTTACATTTAGGCCTTTTTATCTGATAATTGTCCCTTCTCTTTAGCTACACCGGGCATTGCCCTGGAGAGAGATATTCATTTGGGGAAACCTATGGCAACTCAACGAGTTATTCTTATAGCAGCTATCGACATGGAGAACTGTCAAACAGCAAAGAAAGATTAGGCAGGGGCGGAGACGTTCATATTCCCTTCCCGACATACTATCAACATGAACCGTCATTAGTCATTGGGACTACCACAAGAACTCACAGGAGATGGGAGGCCCCTGAAAGATACAGATTATCAAATGAGAGCAGCAATCAAAAACATATCAAGGACTTTAAAATGGTAATTTAATTTTTGTCTTTTGTTAATTGCTTATAAAGCAAGGTTACATGAAAAATATGTAAGAATTCTGTGAATCTAGCATTGCAATGAGTAATGATATGAGCAAGGTAATATTCAGGAACAAAGCAAAACGACAATGAGAAACCAGGGTAATATGATTTTTAGATAAATTAAATAAGTATACTTTAAATTTAATTTATTGTAAAATCATAACACAAAACATTGATTTCTCATCGTTGTTTTGGTTTGTTCCTGACTATAACTTTGTTTATATTACATGAACAATTCTTTTAAATTTTCTTGCCCAAATATTTACAGCTTTTCTTGAATGTAAAATGTTTTTGTTGATTTGGAACAGCATGAATTAGCCACCAGAAAGAGTATTACAACAATTTTAGTGTTTTATTTCACAAAACCCATGAAGGACTATAAATAAAAGTAAAACCATCAAGCATTTCCACCAAGGACCAAGATACCAGGGGGCTTTGGCCCCACCAAGAAAACCTAAGTTGTATAAGTAAAATACTTTTATTTCATGAAATATGGTGGTTTTTACATTGATTTATCAGGAACATTTGATTTATCAGGGCTGCCCCCCCCCCCCCCCAAACAAGAAGTTGTATCTCGGTCCTTGATTTCCACAACGTCTGAAGCAATACGAAAACCAATTTTTTGACATTCTAAATCATTGGCAACATATTGGTTATGTACACATAATATGCATGCTTTTGCATATATTGGCTGTGCAGAATCCTTTCAGTTATAACTCTTAACATTAACAACACAACAAATTTCAAAGTGTAAATTTAAAATTCCTAAGCATTTAATTCTATTTTTATATAGCTTTGATACCCTTTTATTCCCTTTTCAAGTTTTTATATTAAATGATATGCAAAAGTTTACATGCTTTTTCCTAGGCAGCTGAAGATCACAGAGAGCAATACAAAGATCACTCAGGATCAATAGTAAAGGGTCAACAATTCCAGCTACCTAAAGTCTCGCACCAAACATCTCCAAAATGGTAATCATACACTAAATCTTTGCAACATATTGTAGTTCTATTGTAGGTCAATTATGGATAATATATTATTAGTAATATACTAGGCACAAACTGCACAGGAGCAAATTCTATATTAGATAGCAAGAATCCATGCTCTCTGACATATTGATTCGTCAATGATTTACCACCAATTTAATATTATATTCAAGGTGACTCAATTAGTCTCTCTGGCACCCTCAACTGGGCCAACTTGCTGTTTTTGCCATCTATTGGAGCTAAGTTGGCGAATTTTCACACTTGTCAGAAAACAGAGGGTGGCTCATCCACTTTGTCTGGAAATAGGACCTGGAAACCCCCCTTGGGCACCATAGCTAGCAACGGCCTGCTTTTATCAATGGGGGCCCCTTTGACCCATACCCCTTTCTCCTTCTGAACGATGCTCATGTGATCAGTCTTAAAAGTCTTTTCCATTCCAGTCTGAAGTCCTTAATGGTGCCAGGACATGGCACTTAGAGACATCAACACACTGCTATATATGCACATTGGCGGTTTTAAGGGGGTTCCAGGGGGCTATGGCCCAAGGTCCAGCACTTTTAGTAGCCAAAAGGGGTCCCACACCTAAGCAAAAGATAGAAATTGTAAAGAACAAGGGCCCCGCAGATGTTTTTTAATTTTCATTCTTTCTGTTATGTGGTTCTAAAAAACCCAATTATGATCAAAACCAATTGATGTAATCAAAAACTATATATATTTCTACACTAAATGCAAGATTTTTTAAAAATTCTTTTTGCCTCTTTTGCAGGAAGCAAACTGGATATCCATGACAACTCAGTCATTGATGAAGAAATCAAGACAAACATTGACCTTGTGCACAGATACATTTTTCGTCTCCACAGCCTGTTTCCCCTTCAATGCCTTGTGCAAAACTGTTTTCTCTTTTCTATTTTATAATAGCAACTACTCCTGCCAAAAGTCTACTAAGTTTTTACATTGCCTATAGCATGCCCTCTGAACAATGATTCTATTTTAACTCAAAAGTTTTAGTGCTGTCCAATTGAATTATATCACATTGCAGGCACCGCGAAGCGGGGGGGGGGGGCTGGGGGGCTTTAGCCCAAAAATGTATAATATTAAGAAAAGAACCATCAGAAAAGCCTCTTTTTATTCGGTTTTAGCGCCCCTCCCCACTTTTTTAGACCCCCTACTTTTCTCAACGATATGCGGTGCCTGCATAGTTCTGATATTCACCTCTACAAGCAACATTTGGGGGAGGAGCATGCTGTCAGTCTTTTCAAAACCAAAAGGAAACTCATAGGACTTTTGGCAGGGACGGTAGTTTCAGACATCAGCAGAGATCCAACGATTTTTTAGAAACCTAAATTCCGCATGTTTGCACCTACTTATCTTAAACCCACGACCTTTGGACGCCATGGAAGAAGGTTTATTCTACCCAACTCTAGCAATTTTATGAATCAAAGGTACACAGAGTCGTTGGTCTTAGCCAGTTAAGCTTTACAGATGGCCTGGGGGGGGGGTTAACCTTGGTGAAAAATGACGGGGATGTGCCTGCCAGAAAATAAAACTGGAACCAACTTAAGAAAACATGATATTTTCGTTTAAGGTGAAAATGACACCCTGTTTGCAGGCTTTTCCCTGGATAGTCGGTATATCAACTTACTGGGGGCCTTTACATGGTTACCGTTCATCCTTTGAATATAATTCCAACATAGGAACATCCATTTAGAATTCAAGTTCCAGTATGTCAATGTCCATTGTCCAGGTTATTAACTACAGTTTAAGATGAATTTTAAGTGTCAAATTGGACAAAATAACTATATTTTATTGTTACAGTTGAAAAAAATTTTTTAACCAAGATAAAATGTGAGCACCTTGCCAAAGTGATAAGTCGTAGTAAAGATGATCAAAATAAGTATTTTCAATGTGAATTCAAAAGTAATGTAATAAATTTCAAGGTGTGTCATTTTTGTCGTACTATGTCTCTTTTCTTATGTAACTTTGGCCCCTTTCTTGTCTTACTTGGTGTGTCTACGATATAATGACCTAGAAAACATGATATAGGAAATAACGCGAAATTAATGCTTGATTATCAGTCACTAGAATTTGAAAAACTGTGTTGATTCAAACCACGTTGATTCAAGGCTTCTAGGTTGATTAGCTCGAATTTATACTTCGGTTAATCTCCGCCGCCCTAAATACATGCAACCTTCCTTTATTTTAGCGTAATCCGGTAACCCTATGTTAATAAACAGTCGTTTCAAGTTGTGTATTTCAGCAGAAAATCCAGAGACAGGTCTTGCCACCCCCAAGGGCCAAGTGTATAGGCAGTGTCGAATCAAGAGATCTCACACAAAAAATTTGATTATTGAAAAGCCTTGCGTTTGATAAAAACATTCAGGACTAGCCCTCAAAGTTGCTTGTAATCCCAGAGTTTACAGCAAAAAGTTACTTATGAGTTACCCAACTCCTTGTACGCAGAAGGACCGTCAGAAACCGTCCTCCCCTCACTACCTTACTAGGTAAATTTAGATCTGGTCTCCTTCACACTCAATTTTTGCACAAACTTTTCACAAGTGCTGTACAATGTAGTCATCGAAAGCTCTAACATCGACAAAACATGTGTCATAAAATGGAAGAAAACAATAACAATATAACAACATAAGGATAGGTCTACTAGTTTTTTGTTCAATTTATCTTCATCAACAAAGAAACAAAGTAGGATAGTCAGAGGAGAATGTGTCTTTGTGTAGTTCAAAGAGGAAAAACCCCCTTCTATAAATAAATGCTTTCCTATCCCCTTGGATGAGCATCCGAAAATTAAAGAATCAGATCGAGCAGACTACCATTGTAACCAGTGGCGTACCCAAGGGAGGGAATATGGGGGTCCGGACCCCCCCCCCCACTTTTCTAAAATATGATTCTCGAGATTTGTCCAAAAATGATGTAAAACTCATTGGGGGGGGGGGGTACAGTAAACTGTATGCTTGTATCAATAACAATTGTAAAATACTTTGCTATTTACCGTAGCTAACACTAATCAAATAATGGGGGGAAATTTTGCAAATAGGGCGTTTCCCCGCATTTGCGAGTGTCTGAAGGGCGTGGTCAAAAAACTTACGCCAATGATTGTAACTCCATCAAAACTAAAACGAGGGTACAGCAATCAACTGGGGGTATAAATGGCTTCTTTTTGGTGACGATAAACCCGATAAAAGTCACCATTAAGCTTGGCCAAACCCGGGAATGATACCAAAACTGATTTATCACCAAATTCTGGATGATACTACAGAAAAAGACAACCGCTAACAAAGCTATCAATTATTTCTGGTTGTTTCAAAGCAATAGGTCAATTGCGAACAACAGATAAAAGGTCATTAACCTTCATGCATACCTCTACTTCAGAGAGAGATTGCCCAGTGGATCTTTCAAAGCCTTTATTATGGTTTTTACCTTTATAAGTGAGAAAGAAAGGACAGTCAAGTCACAAGGGCATTTTCAGCAACATTCATGCCCCAATTAGTATGAAAGCCAAAGGTAAAATCCTGCATTTGGTTATCGCCAATCTAAAGTAGCAGCACGTGGGCTTACATGACAGCTTTCCTTCAAAAACTTTTCCCAAAAAACCAAGGCCCTATTTTTGGAGCCATTCCGACCCTGCTTCGAATCACATCTGTAAAAATCTCAATTTTTTACTAGCTAAAGATCACAACTATTGTACGGTATTAACACTACCTTTCCAATGAATAATCTTCTAATACCGTTTACACTTAATAATGTGTGATAGGTGGAAGGTACCAGTAATTGAAAAGCGCGAAACGCGACTTGAGTTACAAAAAGGTTAGCGATTTACAAAAAGGTTCGCAAGTTACGCCAGAATTGAGACGTTAAACTGCCGGAAAGGTTGATTTTAGATTCCATGTCCATGAAAATGAGGAAAACGGCTACTATAACGACAGAAGGAGTTCGTGTTCGCCCTTAGACTACATTACATTGGTCATATTTTTTTAAGGGGCACTGAATTGTCAGACTTTACAGTCACGTGTTCTATTGGCCTATTTACAGTCACGTATTCTACATAATTGGCCTATTTCGATCCACAACAGGCTATATATTCTCTAGCTCACAAAAACACCCTGAAAGTGTCAGACGAAAAGCTTCAGTATGTTTTAAAATAGCTAGAGAAATTCTAAACACCTTTTCAGTTCATAAAAATTGCCTTAAAAAATGTTAACAAGAAAATGGTAGTAAAAGTTTAGGCCGGAATAATTGCAATCATATTTCGTGACCGAATACGCAAAGAGGGCACGAGTACAAGAGGGCTATTTTTCTAGGAAAAAGTAGGGACATTCAAATTCATACCTGTGCTGGATACGAATTGCACTGCAAAGATACCAAGCGAGGGTAACCTTGTTGGGTCTCCATCAAATCATTTTGTGTAGAACAACCAGTCTGTTAAACATGTAGAGTAGAGGGAGTCATACCTTGCGAAACATCATTTGACATATATTCTCATCCAGCCATCTCGTGAACGAACAGTAAGCTTGTAATAAAACTTCGCTAAGCAAAGTGGGGCGCATTCTATGCTGAATCATTAAATACCCTTACATCAACCAAGGAAATAAAAATGCCATGTCACGTCTTGCCCAGGTATGAGAACTCCAAACTCTCTAGAGACCAAGAGACTCCCCAGCCCAACACGAGAAAAACGTGATGAAGAATGTCACAAGAGACCGTGAAGAAAAGCAAAATAACAACTTAAGTGAATTAACAAAAATGCCCTTTGTGTTTCCCTTCATTTAATCACCTTGAAATTATCAAGACTTTATGTAGATTTTCTTTCGATGAGGGAACGTGGGTAAACTTCTCAAATACTGTTATTATATCCTTTTACCAAAATGCTCATCCTCTTTTGTTTGTTTTGAAAGTTTTCACCCTTCTAGAGCTTTAATGTTGATTAATATTTTTTATCCAAAAATGCAGTTTCTACTGATGCAATAACCTTTGATGTGATATCTCTTTAAACACTACTACATAGTTGACTACACATTATAAAGGCTGGGTTAACAAGAAATTCTAGAAGCGAGGGCTGATTATAGAGTCACTCGAATTTAAAACTGATTTGCCTGAGCCGGGAACGAAACTAGGCCGAAACTGGACCGAACTTAGGAATGAAGTTTCTTTCATGGCAATCGAAAAAAGAAGCATTTTGCCTGGTAAAGAGAATTTCCTTTTTGCTTCAAAGTTAAAATGTTCCTTGGTGCAAAATTCAATAACATTGTGCGAAAGAAAATGGCTAAAATGTACAGCCGGGCAGATAATCCACAAATGATAAAAATTGCGAGCTTTTAGACCCCGATTAAATAGTAGAAATATCAATCTAAATATCATAGCTGAAACAGCAATACAAAGAAGCTAACGTCCTTCTAAATACATCACAAAATAAACTATACTTCATTACGAGAACCTATTAACAGAAGAAACTAAAAATATATAAATATATGTTGTAAGCCACTGAAAGAGGCGGTGAAATAGTAGATTGAATAGTAGATTTCACAAGCCGGCTTAGGTTGGGCTTACAGAAAATCCACTTTACATTGAGGCATATCAGTTTTATGGTTGTTTTGACTAATGAAAACATGACCGACAAGGCATAATGGTGACATTTCAAAATGATCCCACTGAAACCAGGATTCTTTTGAAGGGGTGCAAGTTTTGATCAAGAACCCAAGGGCCTTTCACAAGATCCCCAGGAAAATGTTGAGGTAAAGGCCAAGAAAACTTGTCTTACTTTGCGTTTACGATACAATTCTAATTTTTTTGCGGTACATACAGGAGGCCTATTGAAAGCATTATAATTTTCTTTTAAATTTGTAGAGATATAAGGGACGAGAATCTTCCAAAAATATTTCTACCTAATTTCGTGGAATGAGAGTTCACATAATGAAAATCAGTTAGCAAACTGTGAGTTACTAAGAAACAGAGATGAAGTTTTTGAACTTTTCATATCACAAAATTTCTTAAGTAAGTCGAAGTCGTAAAATTATTTGGGAAAAGGGTGCACCTGCATCCATTGACCTCTCAAGATATGCGGCTGCAGAGAAATTGGGTTTGTCAAAGAAAACTAAGAAATTGGCTTAACAGAGCAAAATTAAATGCCTAGAGTGTTCAAAAGAAAACGTGGAGACTTCTCTAGCTAATTATGGACGGAGCCTTGTCGTCTTTTGATGATAATTATTTAATCCCCTAGCTACCACCATGTTAGATGATGGGTTAAAGTCTCTTAACTTTCACTTATTCCGAAATAACGGATTCTATTACTACTGAAAAGGCATATTAATCTCTTTAACATTGACAATATGAACAACTAGAATTAGCAATAAGAAGAGCCGGGTTTCTTATACCCGGTTAAATTCTATACCTGGTATCTGATGACACAGTCTTCGTTGATAGAGCAAATATGACATGGTAAAAATTACATCCATACACATCATGCGATTTGGATGGGAAACGTTATCGAATATATTATCATAAGGGTTAATATAGAAGTTGGGTGCATAGATGCGTACACTTGTCGAATTTTCGCCACTTAAATCTGCTAACCTACAGAGCCATAAAAGCAAGAAGTCATCCACAAAGCATGAAGAGACTGACAGGGCCAACTTAATGAAAGGAAAAGGGCTAAGTTAAAATCCCTTTTTATGAAAGAAAATTAACAGAATTTGAACAAGAGAATGGGGTTACCCAAAATGGGTCAAATCGAGGATTGAAAGGCCGTGGGTACATTTTTATCTGTTAGGAAGGTAAAAAGAAAGTTAAAGACTCATTGCTAACAATGAGCCACTGCGCTACGCAAGCATCCCATAATGCATTTTTAGACAGTCTGAAATCAATTTACTGCCATTGAAGACAGTTAACTGCCAGTGTTTGGATTGTCGCCACGCTCGCAAAGGCTCATTGTTAGCAATGAGTCTTTAACTTGTCAGATCGCTATAGCACATTCCTTTACTTCTTTATACATAGTAATTCAAAGGATGCCTCTGTTACCATACACTCAACGCTTACAAATTTTACATTTGATGCAAATCTAAATCAAAAGTCTATTGGGTGCTCTTCATAGCAAATGTACATGCTTTACAAAGTTATATGTCATTCTGTCAAATTCGGATATGGAGCTTTGTCTCTTCAGCTATTTACATTCGGATCCTGAAAGAGCTAGAAATAACAAAGAAACGTAAATAAACAGCTGCACAAGCTATTGACGTTTTGTAACTCCCTATGACAAGAAACATATTTTCCTTTAGAGACTTAATTGTTTTCAAGTTCATGGTAAGTTTTTCGTTCATTTTTCAACGAAATTATTTGCAAGAAGAAGAAAGAAACTAAGAGAGCTATTTGCAAGATCTTAGAATCTCGATTAAAATAAATCGACTCCCTTGCATATAAATACCAAAATGTGCCTTACAACTGCAGACATCGAGCAACATATTACCGTGCCGTGGTAACTTTTAGGGCTATAAGAACATCTGCACGAGGGGTTTGCACCTGTCTTTTAAACATTTTCGTCAAGACGAAAACAATAGCTTACAAGGACCGCGGAAAATATTACAGATTGAGGGGGGTTAAACGTTTTGGGGGGGGGGGACTAAACATGCAAAAACCCAAGAGTAGGATGATCTTTAGTGTGATTTTAAGTAAATTTTGGAAATTATTGTGGGGGGGGGGGGGCTAGAGCCCCCGTAGTTTCCCTCTTCCGCGGTCCCTGATGGCTTGGGAACAATGGTCAAATTCTTTAATTTGAATGTACGCTGTTAAAAAGTTGGCAAAATGATTTGCTATTAGCTTCCCTGATTTAACGAATAAGACAGTGACGACTCAACATCTCAAAACTACAGCATATTTAACCTTCGTTGTGCAATCAATGTGTCTTCAAATTAAAAAACAAAACCAGAAAATCATGGCATCCTTATTTGAAGAGCCTTTGGCGGCATTTAGATACCGACACATATCAGTTAATGTCGTATGAAAGTGATAAAGAAAATTGAATTAGTCAAAGATTATGTTACTTACTTCATAAAATCAGGAGCTTTGGAGATAACATGTTCAAACTCTGGAAATGAGAGCTTGTTGTCATCATCAAGGTCTGCTTCTTCCATTGTCTGCAATACAATAATAAATAACAAATAAATAGGATCCGCTTCTAGTCAAAAAGAAAGACTGATAGTAAAAGAAAAGCAATAACTTAGCTGAATAAAATAAGCTTTATCATCTGGTAGGCAACATAAATTAAACAACTGAGTTGAGTGTATCAAGCTTTTCCGATAAAAGATTAATTCTGTCCTTGGAGAGTCAATATTTATCAAAGTAGCAGCTTGGTCTCGTTACTAAGCAGCGCAAACAGCTCTTGAGAAAGTTGGGACGGCTTTCTGTGGGATTAGCCCCAGTGAACACCGTACAAAAATGAACATCGCTTCTGGAAAGGAGGTACATATTAAGAACAAACTTTCTATTCCAATTTTTTCGCCCAAAACCATTCTTATTTCCATGATTTGCAATGTATCTTTCATTTTAAAAAACAATCCTGCTTCAGTCAAGTTCTGAGTTGTTGATGCAAATTTTCCCTTTTTACATTTCTTCATTTCTGAACCTTCTTCATAGAGCACGCATACTTATCTCCAAAAAAATCCAACACATTTAAAACGTTTACTAATATCTTAAGAATACTGCAAAACTGAGGCAGAATCAGGGTTTAAATCACTGCCCAAGTCACAAACAAGCAAGTATTACCCTTGATTTTGGTATAAACAGGGTGGGTTAAGAAATTTTCCAAATAATAAAAACTGGGTGAATAGATTGCAGTCATCTTCAAATTGGAAACAGAATTACTATAAGCAAGACATTGGTTTCTCAAAAAAGAAAGAAACCGATTTATAACATAACAATATGAAATATTCTTAACAATTTCTTGCCTCTCACTGTTGTTCTCAATGCCCTTCCTTATGCTATGACGATCTTGCATTTTCATATTAAATGAGAATCAAATATGGTAGACGAGGGAATAAGGATGTCATGGGTTTTTTACTATTTATAAGAGTGAGGATTACATTTATTCTGGACTGAAAATCTCAATCACTATGTTCAACATACAGGAAACTCGGCTGTTCCTTTTATTAAGGACTGAGATAAATCTTACCTTTCTTATGATTGTGTTGATGCTATCATCTGAGAGTTTTTGCTCCCCACACAAGCGTCTGATAACAATTTTCAAATCCATTTCATCTATATAGTCATCTTCATTGAAATCTAGAGAAATAATTGACATATTTATAACCTGATAACTATTTATAATTTTTGTAGCAGGATTCTTTACATTGAAGTGACCCAAATTTTCACCTTCCTATAATGAAACTAAATAAAATGTATGTAAATAAAACAACATATTTATCTAAAAACATGCAGTTTTTTTATTTTGCCGTAACTAAAAGTCATGCCTTTTCTATATATACCTATTTTGCTGCAAGATTAGTCTATAGATTGGAAAGTATTCCTGTTGCATGACTTGGTCATTTTTCAACTTAAAGTTTTAATTTATATTACGGCCAGAAACACCAAAAAGAGAGGTTCAGGGGGTTCAGCCAGCTCATCATAGTCCATAGAAACCAAATCTTATATCTGTGGTACTGCTATGGTCTTAGATAGATGCAGCCTCCTTGGATGGTTAAGAAAGAAACATTAATAGTTAGGTAAATAAATTATGGGCATAGTCAAATGCCCAACTCTAAGAAGAGTCCTACTGCACATCCAATTTTCACATTTTGGACAAAAATTCTATGGTATCATTTCTTATCATTGTAATGAAATAGTTTTCTGAGGCAAGTGACAACAAAAAGAACCATTTTGTAATATTTGAGCTCTTTAATTTTTAGATATTCTAATTGAAGATACACAGGGCTGCTAAGAGTACTGGAACCCAAGCATTTGCAGAGTTTTTACAAAAAGCTGAGCTCCAAGAACATTTTCAGAGATGGCAGAAAACCTGTCAAACAATCAGTTTTGATAAAAATAAATTGCATCAACAGTTATTACAACAACTGGTACATTGCCTTGGAAGTTAGAAAAATTAAAGTTAAAGGTAATGTGTCCAGCTAAAGCAAGCAACTCTGCAGGGGATTTTAGAAGCATGTGATTCTTCATGTCATTGCCCCATTCATTACGGTCGTTCTGTTTATCTTTCCTGCTGTGAGGTCAGCTTTTCATGTGAGCAGTTTTGCATCGAAAGAATACTAACCAATCGCAAACCGTAATTTGATGGGTGGCTTGACAAGTTGGGTATACGCAGTCCTTTTATATGGACACATTACCTTTAACAATGCAAATCAAATAATAAACTCAATTTTGGGGAAACTTTTAGAGCCAATATCTTCATATGGCAGGAAATTTGCAAAAACAACTAAATTCATAACAGATTAATAAACTGGGATTAGCACAAATATTGCCAGATGTACCCATTAAATGTGAAACATCCCTATTTTATACATCAAAATATGTGAAGCTCTATCTATACAACCAGTGGCGGACACTTGGGGGGGGCGAGGGGGGGCAATCGCCCCCCCAATACTTTAGAGAACAATGGTCTTTTGTTCTAAAACAATGGGAAATGTGATGTCATCTTATTAAAACAATAGGCTTGCCCCCCCCAATATTTGACGAAGTGTCCGCCCCTGTATACAACATTTAGCAATTTATGAAACACTGGTAGGATGGTAATTTTCATAAACTAGCAAAAAAGTATTAAGACATCCCAGTTGCAACCATCTCCATTATTGAAATTATGTAACTTACCATAAATTCTGAATGCATATTCAACTTTGTAACTTTTTGGAGCCTGAAAAAATAATTCAGTACTCAACAAACAAGGAACTCTGAACAATTGGACTTTAGGAACAGAGCTTTGATTGAACTATCAAAGTATTGCTGTAGCTTGCAAAATCTCCTGTGTAGCTTGCAAAAGCTCTTAAGTTTTTGAAGTTGTTTTTGGTGAAAAGCCCGCTGATTATTTGCAAAAATATAATCAAAATTATCAGATGCATTTGCTTGAAATTGAAAAAATATTTGAAAAATATTTCATTTGACAAGCACACAAGAAGATTCAGGCAGATCAGTTTCTAATAAGACATTTAAGAAGAAAAAATTTCCTTTTACCCAAATTTGACCCTGAATCTATAAAGTAAAAATGTGCCTAGAAGGAATTGCTTGTACTGATCAGCCTTTGAAATTGACATATAAGCAAATATGTTGTTTTTTTCTTCAATTTTGTTAACAGATAAGTGATGGCTTATCGCCAATTTCAGCAACTAAAATTATAGTTATTTTTGCTTTGAAGATAAAATTATTTGACCTGTAAAAATGATAATTAAAAAAATCAATAAAATTTGACTCAAAATTCAAAACCAAGCCCTGAACATAATATCTAATACCCTAAGAAAATGTTGCAAAGGAAACAGAGGTTTTAAAACATACAGATTCACTGAAAGTAGACATCATGTCTAAGAAATCTTCAAATGTCATATCACCATCCCTTGAAGTTGAAAATACTTTGCATATTCTGTCTCGAAATGGATTGACCTGGTGAACAAAGATAGAGAAGGTTCTTCAATACTTTGTTTTTAACTTGATATGACAGCAAACAAAAAGATAGAAATTTTGAAACTAAAAGAATCATAATTTGAACAAGGTAAAATTGAAATAACAGGCCATTATTGTAACATTATGATAAGGCCCCCATTTTAATATTGTTTTACAGAAACTATATATTTTGTTATAAATAGCATATTTCACAGCTTCTTCAGAATTTGGGAGGTAGCTGGTATAACCATATTACATTTTTAACAATTTTCCTCGCCCCTCAATGCTTGCGGGACCAGTTTTTCAGGTGTGTAAAGCAACAACACTATATGAATGGGGCTATTGTTCTAGCAAAGGGGGGGGGGGTAGAGCCCCTCTCCTCAAGAACAATAGTAGCTTTGGCTCTGTACATGACTGTATATATAGCAAAGAAATACAAAAAGATATGATAAAGATGCAAAAATCACCTTGAGCTCATCTAGGTTCATGATCTTTCGCATTGGTAACTTTGCATTTCTATCCTCCCTAACAGCATCTGGATCCAAACTGTTAAATCGCTTGTGGCAGCTGTAAAAAAAAAGTTCAAGTGCAAACATACAGAATTCTGAATAAAAAGTTTAGAATTATTCCAGTCAGGAAACAGTAAAATTCAAAATAAAACAAAAGAGGAGGTTGGACACATTTGGGGTGACTTTTCAAGATTCAGCAGTCAGCAGCAGTCTCGAGATCCAGCAGGAGACTTAAGAATTGGCAGCAGTATTAGAGGGAACAGAGGGTGATTACCTCCGTTCAGAAAGGTCCACCTAAAATTTTCAAAACCTGGAGATTTTAGAATTTCTTTTAAGGAAAACAGGAAGTTTTTCACACAAAAAAGGAAGATCACAATAATACTTTGAAATGCATAAACAAAATACATGCAAAACATTGCTCTGGGCAAACGGTTAATGGCAAAAAATATCATGAGAAATTTCTTCAAAATTATTTCTAGTGTTTTTTGTTAATTTGTAAACATAAACAAAAATTTTAGTTACAAAGAAAGTTCTTGTAATAATTTCTATTATAAGAATAACCCTTCTAAAAGAGAAGGGAGAAAGAGGAAGAAAATTTCAGGAAACAGTGCGACCTGGAAAAAGCAAGCAAAGCATGGAATCTTGCAGCAAAAAGTGTGATTTTTTAATTTTCCCAGGTCCCTAAGATAGTTAGATGAAGTGGGTTTTACCACTAATAACATTTATTTTTCATTAGAAGAAAAAATCATATAAATCATTTATGTCCCTGAAACGTTTCATGAATTCATTACATTTAGGTCTTTATGATTAGCAACTAAGAGCTAGCCTGTTCTATACAGCAAAGCACATGTACAGCAAAGCACATGTACGAAAAATTTGGCAAAAGAGTAGCTTTCATTGAATAACTAATAGCAGGTGCAGAAAGCAAATATTTGATCTTGTCTTTGAGAAAAGACATCTGGACACAACAAGACTGTTGAAGGTTGAAAAAGTATTGGAAATGTGATCATAAATTTAAAGCCCCACTGCCCTTTTCAATCAATGATTCTCTTTAAATCTTCTCTGAAACAAAGAATATTTATAAAAAAGAACTACTTTAAATATTTTGTGAACCAGGCGTCGCAAAACAATGTCTGTGTGACTCAATGGCCTACATCAATGCGAGTTTTGAATCAGATTGTAAATAAAAGCCATACAATGCAAACAAGGAAGTGAATTGCTAACCAGGAGGTACCCAGGTGATTGACAATGGTTAACAATGGAAAGGAAGCAATGATTGTCACATGGAGTGAAAAGAACCTTTTATGAAGTTGCAAAAAGGGGGCTGAAATAAATTGGGTGGGGCAATAGCTAATTACAAAATAAAATGAACAGGATGGTTTTATCAAACAGGGTCATAGTCTACAATCAGATAAAGTGTTATTGAAAATCATCCTAATTTTCAGTCAAATGTTTTTGTCTCTAAAACAGGGGGTTGCAACAAGAAAATTGATGTATCAAAAATGTTGATACAAATAAATGGGAGGTAGGCCTTATTTGGACCTCAGAGTAAGGTCATGAATGAATTCAAAGACACTTTTTCAAAAAATGTGATCAAGTTACATTTTGATTGACAAGCACCTAACACAATTGTCTCCAAATAGGTTGGTTAAAAATGCTGCTAACTGAATGATGTCAACTTTAAGAAAACATGGAAAACGATAGTGACATAGTTTACTAGGAATAATTCCGACTTTGCAGGCAAAATCAAGTACTTTCAATTGCTGTATTGTTTACTACGTAAGGTAGTTGTAGGACACTGAGAAGCTTATGCTTATTGAGCAGTGTCCTGGTCCTTCCTCTCAATGTGACCACACCTTGTGATTCCTATGCCTGGAATAACAGAGAGTTGGCAACTCTCCTCACTTGTGCAGGAAGCTTAGTCATGTCAGGGACTCAAACCACTAGCCATTGGGGTCTGTGCCATCCTCACTGGTGTTCATTGTCATTAAATGTGTTGGGTGCTACTCAATCAAATGCCCATTTCATTCACCAGAAATAGTGAAATAGTCCTTTAGTAGTTTACTTTGAACAACTTTTATCATAGAAAATTTCACGAAAAACAATTTTGTCCTATTTCAACCTACATAAAGGTGGTCTTGCCAATCAACTAATTGATTATGGAAACTAAATATAAAAAGCTTGTGTGTCAAAGCCTATGATATATGCCATCAGTGGCCATAATTTTAGATTATTTTCATTATCAATCAATCTTCATTATTAGCTTGAAAATACTTAAAATCATTCAAATTTAAAATACTTAAAGATAATTAATAATTAAGTTATAATTAGGTCAGGGACAAACATCGTTATTTTCCTTAACATAGAAATTTGAGAAAATTAAGCTGAAAGTTTAAGCAATTTTTCTCAAAAAGGGGGAAAAAGCAATTAACAGTACTAATTGGACACTGATCCACATCCAATAATCTCTTGGCATGGTTTATATGAGTGACCATGTGCTGAGAGGTGTGACACTACAATTAGTACCAAAATGACACAGGGCCTAAGCAATCACCTGAAGTATGGCAGTTTTCAACGAGACTTCACATGTGCACAAGGGGGTGAAGTGGTGGAAGGCCTCAAGGGGGCTAAGCCCCCTTGTTAATACTGAAAAGTAGCCAATTTCTTTTTTTGCTATCTTATTCACAATGTTTTGCGCAAGAGCCTCTTGTTATTTTGACAACACTCCAGCCCTGATGAGCACGGTCATTTCAAGGAAGTTATCTGCATATTATCCCCTTTTATCACTCATAGACCATGCAAAAAGGAGGTTTTCATTACACATTATAGAAATGGTGTACAATTTCAAAATGACCTCTTGCATTAATCAGCCATACACTGCGGACTGGGATAGTACTAGAGGACTTCAAAAGTTCATGAACTGTCCAGGCATCTATTTCACTAGTTTATGCACTGAATATAAACAGTGATTTACTTTTAAGCTTATTCAAAGTCATTTGTGCTTTAAATTACAAATAAACTAAACACTTTGACTTGGATGAATATCTGATTTTATAAAATAATCTTTTCTTGGCGAAACTTTTAACTGATTTGTATAACTAAATCTATTATTAAACAAACAATGTTTTAAGGATCCTAAACGCCTAAAAGTTCCGCAAATGTTAGCGACAGTGAGGTTGAAACGAACTGAAACAATAACAAATGAAATCACAAACCACACAATCAACTATGTGTAATGTCGGTTAAAAAATAGAATTACAAAAAAATGATCCATTCATACTTACTGTAAAATCTCTTTCTGGGTGAAGAATGTGAGTTCCTGTGAACGGAACAGTAGAATTTTCATGCTTCATGTTAATTCAAAATCTCAATGAAGAAATTGGCAGAGCCAAACAAGAACTTGATCACTGGTAAAAGATGGTATTCATAGGCCATTTTTCACTTTGTTCTGTTTCGATGTGTTAACTTCAAGGGTAGAAATTATCCCCACCTACACAACTATAATCTGAATATAAATTGCAGAAGTTAGACTAGAGAACCGGAACTTTAGCAAGCAAGGATGTTATCGGGTCAACGGGCACAATCACACGCAAAAAAGGCTATATAATTTTTTTTACTGGCACCAAGATGTGCTTACGAGTTACAAGTACTGACCTGATATTCTTTTAGTTCTTCTTCGGTGAACTGTGAATGAGATCCACCCATTTTGAGCTTTATTCCGTCATAAAACTTCGCTTTTTCTTCTCACTCCAACTTTGTGATGTGTTACTTGACTCCTTCGCCGAGCAACAGTCTAACTGCGCCTACGCAGTAGCAGGCAAATTGAGATGCGCATTAAGAAAATTTTGGGGACTTTGAAACTGGGTGAGAGGGGGGGGGGGTGGGTATGGTTTTGTGATTACAAAATTAGACAGAATGGAATGCAAAAGAGCAAAAGCTTATATAACTTATGAAGTTTTTTCCTTGAAATCTTCTAGAAAAGAGTTTTATACATTTTTCTTAGGTATAACATCTTAATTCTTCCGCAACTTTATTCCTACGATAGTTTACTCCTATGTAGTAGCAGTTCTTCTTGACTTGGAATCTTTTTGTTCATTTTCTAGGTATTTTATCTTGTTTAATATGATGTATTTCCTAACTTGGTCAGCTTGGTGTTTTATTACCCTCAATCTATTTTTTATAGTTATTCATATTTTCTTTGAACCAGACTGTTTATAAAAATTCAGTAGAAATAAACAAATATTTTCTAAAAGGGGTTTTTCCGGCGTTCTAGAGGGCGTGACCTCAAAAAATTTTCGAGCTCACCCATTTCAGCCCCTCCACTTTTAGACTGGTGCGTGGCCCCTGGCGCCTTGAACTTCAAAGTGGTGAGTGAGACATAACAATATGTTTGATTATCAAATTTTAAAGGAGAGACCACGGGTAAGCACCAAAAGGGTTGCGGAGTAGGGCAGTGGTGAGAGAGGCGGAGGAGAAAAGAAAATGAGTTGAGAGAAAAGGGTGAAATCAGAGCAAGAGAACAAAAAACAAACAGGAGATTTTATTTAGATTGTAATTGTTTATTGTGTCAACAGGTGGCAATCGATACAGAATTTAAATATGACACTACTGACTACGAGATTGTGTAAACGTGCTTAAAGCAACCCTGAAAATCAGTAAATCTTTACGGAAAGAAAACAAAAAGTTTTATTTCACTTCAACACACCACAAATTACGATACTATAGTTCCACAGGTCAAACAATATTTCTTAATCACTGCATAACACTTTTTAAACAATCCATGGTAACAAGCAAACGAATAAAATAATTCGATAACATTTAGGATAAAGGACTCGCGTTAACAACATCCGAGTCTACGTTAGTTAATTTTTTTCAAAGTTGAAGTTGTTTGTAACTATGGAAATGCTTACCAGAATGCTTTGCGTGAGCAACGTCGCGTAGCTAACCTGTTTATTGAGAATTACTTTTCCTGCTGGATTTTGGGTGCACCGATTGCTAAGAAGGTTTCAAAAGAATCAATGAGCCTTTAGAAAACAATTTTTGTGACTTTCTTCCGAGAGGGGGCAATCTACTGGGGACATTGAGGGCTTAAAAACCCCTTCGAGCGCTACTACAATCTAAAATGACATCACCATCTTCAAAACATTCTGTCAGCACATACGGATTGGACGTTTCAAAAACTGACGCACACAAGTGCTAAAATTAAAAAGACAATGAGATTTTAAAGCTATCTTTTAATTTATAGACATCTATGTAATTTTGAAACTGTTTGCAATGAACTATTATTATATCTAAACTCTACTATCATACAATAAATAAATAATATAGGCTATGGACAATAGCAATCTTTAACATACGACTTAAACCTTTAGGCCTTCTGGACAAGTGGCAGAGACAACATCGATGCTTTAAGTTTTCTAACTCACCCTTCGGGCCACTATAATCGACAAAATAGGATCGTAACGGCATTGGTGCCAATTATTTTAATCTAAAAATCTGCTTTTGCAGGGACAATATACGCCATGCTTGATAAAAGGTTTGGCTAAACGTAAATCAGGTCCTCAATTATGGCAAATGGGTGACTAAGTGACAGGAACAATAATACTATGTTGCTCAAAGTGAAAGGGAATAACTGGGCTTTTCAAAAAAGTTCAAGTATTCACATTTGAATGCCATAAAATCGAGTCTGCTGCCTCTGCCTTTCATACTTTTAAATACATTTTCTCAGACAACGTTTTTCATTACATGACATGTAACTTGCAATAATTGCATGAGAGGCCACGACGTCATGCCGTGATTGCTACAGTAACCCCCGGTTGCTTGACAGTTGAGAGGAATTACTGGTAGGCGAAGATCGTGGAAGATGGGGGTTTATAACATCATATATTAGCTGACCGTGAGAAAGTAGCAATAAGAAAAGTTATTAGTGAGGGTGGTTATATGGATTTGAGGTTATTCGCGCAATCACGGAGTACGTTAACAGTATCTTCAGAATTTGCACTAGAGAATGATGAAATAAATTATTGAAATATGTCAAATACATCAGAAAAAGTTAAATTAAACGATGATAAATGACGAGCAACGTAAACATTGTTTAATGAGATCCGGTTGAAAACCAAGCCAACAATCACAAATTTAAATAAGAGGAATTTTTTCAAACGCATGCAAACAATTGGTTCTGAACAATATTCAACATCGTGAAATATGAGGTGATGCAATTATCTTTTCAAATGAAGAAATTTCTTATTAAAAAATCACAGAATGGAAATTGTGTTTTTTTATCCGTTGAGCGAAATATTCGTTAAAACGCCTATATTAATGTAACTAGTCAAGGTAGCACTTCCATGAACGAAGGGAAGGTATTGTTTTCATCAAAAATATGGGGAATGTATTTGAAACGATTAGAATCATGAGGAAAGGGGGGTGAAAGGAAAATTTGAATGGAAAATTGCTGTGTATTTTTGTTTCTAACGTTTCCAAATTATAATGTTTTTGTTAAAAACGGATTTCGTATTCTCAGCAGTGCCGCCAGAAAGCAGAACAGCCTTGTATTTCAGCAAAGAATCAAATATATAATCCTGGAAACAAGCATCTCTCATCGTAGGTTAGCTATAAGGAATTCATTTGAACTATTGATTCCAAATAGACACTAGTTATCAGAAAACAATTTACAATACATACTAGTTCAGTGGATTGGAACCAGGAACTGCGAAGCTATTGTAAGAGTGAGGTGGAATGCCGAAGAGGTATAGAGTTATCAAAATAAACGCTACTCAAAGAATGGTGGGCTTGGGGATAAAAATAACGGCAATTATGCTATTCTTGACGACATGAAACATATCTGGTCTTTTTTCCTAATCAATGCATCCACTTTTGATAAACAAAAATTTGACTTCCTTTACTCGACAGCTTTAAGATTCTTCTAGTAATGAGGACCAATAATTTGGTTCAAAATTTATTAACTTGGAAACAAAATCACTGGTACCATTTGCCTTCACTACCTATCCCTCAGATTCGTTCTGTATCCATCACGATCCATAGAAAAATTTCTTAAGAAAAGAAAAGAGCAGTAACCTAACAATGGTAACAATCGGTGGTGCGTTTAAGTACCCACCCGCATAATTGCTGACCAGTTCCTGGCACAACCGCTTCATCCCCGTTTGCGGGCAATACATAATTTAGTGAATTATCACAAACCCTTTTAGGAACAGATCATAGTTTCTTGATCGAATCAACTACCGATACTCTCTTTCTAGAACTTTCAACCTAAGTTACCTGGCAACACCGTAACATGCTTTGAAGATTATGACTGTTGTTGTTGCTGCTGCTGCCCATAATACTGCTCACTCTGCCTGAGAAGGTTTTCCAGTTCATCGGCTGATCTGTAAAGGAACGCGGCCGACTCCCTGTAGCCAGTGATCAGCTGTCGAACTGCAGATATTTCACTTGATGATAGCTTGACTGGTGGGGTCCTACTTGTGGATGAAAATGGCAGGTGTTTTTGTCCTGTGAAAGAAATAGAGATAAGAATTCAGGAGAATTAATAAACAACTATAAATATAATGAACACGGGTAGATCTTTAAACCTGTCCTGTGCTATGGGAGTGAGGCTTGGACATTATCAGCAGAATTGAAGAAGCGCCTGGCAAGCTGTGAAATGTGGTTTTTAAGGAAGATGATGGGAATACCGTGGACAGACAAGACGAGCAACGAAGAAGTTCTTGCAAGAGCAGGTGTAAATGGAAGGCTTCTTAAGAACATCAGAATTAGACTTATGTGCTTCTTGGGCATGTGCTTCGGAAAGATGGACTTGATAACTTAGCACTTACTGGACGGACAGAGGAGAAGACAAGCAGGGGAAGGCAGATAATACTGTGGATGAATAGCCAAGCTGGATTGATCCAAGAAAATGGTACAACAATCAAGGAGACATAACTAACACACATGACCAAGAACAGAGAATTGTGGCAAAGTATGATCGCCAAAGTCTCATGATATGGTACCAAAGAGAGGGAGAGGGAGAGATCTTTGAACGCCCTGCTGATTATGTGTTGTTTTGAAAAATATACCTGTTTCCGGTAAAAAGACCAACACCGTACCCCGTTTCCAAAAACACGATTTGTTGCGAAGTTACGTATCATAGCTTTCGAATAACTGGACCACACCGATCTTCTCAACTTTGCAAAAAACCACATTGTTCGGGAGGGAATACGGGGTTGCAGTATGAAAAATTAAGTTCATTTTACAAAAACTTTTAGCAGGCATTGTAAATGATTTGTTGTTAACGCTGTCTGAAATGAAATGAACCATAGCTATCTGAAATGAATCCATCGGACCACACCGAGCCTCTAAACTTTGCATAACACAATATTCTTTGGAGGAGGGAGAGGTGGGCACAAGAAAATGTACAAAAATTAAGTGTAATGTACAAAAACGTTCGGCAGGGATTGTCAATATCTCGGAGGAAGTTGCTAACAACGAAAATGATTAGTTGCCCAAAAAACTAAACTTTCTTCTGTCAATGTATCACTAATTCGTTCTCAAACCCAATTTAAATCAACCGATAGGTGATGATATGATACATTAATAAAATGATATATTATCGTTACTTCTATTTGTAGTATTGATTATAAAGAGGCTGAGAGAATATATAGATAGAATAGTTTAGACGACATCAAATATAGTTGTTGATAATACCCGTCACTGTCGTAGACAGTTGGTGATAGCATACTACAAAGGGAAATGGGCAACTGGGCAACGTTTTAAGTTAACTCATTCATGGTTGAGAATAGTATGGATGAGTTACGACTGCCACATAGACTGCAATGAGCCAATACGGGCAGTGGAAATATAAAGACTTGCGAAATTAGGAATTGAACGTGGGAATAAAAGTGACAAAATCAACTTCCAACCTAAAAAAGAACAGATAAAAAGGTGTGGGTAACCATATTTACCATGTCTATCGTGCAAATGTGGGTGGCTCACATGATTCTGTAGTGACTGTCTCTCGGAGCTTTTTGAAATGACGGAATCATCTAGGTCATATTTCCCGCGTTTCGAAACCTCCTGGGACTCGTTGAAGCATGCTTGTGAAAGGATATTCTGTGAAAATAGAGACGTTGAAAGTACGGTAAAGCCAACTCTTATGGGAGACATTTCGTGACCAGTATACAAAATTGTAACTGCGATTGGAAAACAACGTTCTAAAACGTTCAAAATCTAGCTCAAAAACTACAGGCGGTCAATAACCATAAAAATTACAATGGACAGTGGTAAGACAGCAATCCTCCACAGCAGCGGTCACATTTTTTTGATGACCACATTATACGCGAGATTTTGTGTTATAATGGATTTCCAAAGTGCGATTTCGTAAAAAATATATTGTTCAAGTTTTTTACTTTAGGCCACAAAACCTGTAAGAGCACCTTCAAATACTTCTTAAAATGTAAAGTAAGTTAAACATCTAAATTGACAGATAAAGCAAAAGAAATAGCTGAAATACTGTTGTTTTTATGCCTGGCTCAATGATTGTAAAACAAAAATTATAGTAGAAAGATTCTGTGCTCATGTGACCATATCTCAGCCAATTTGTAACAAAATGATTGTTACAGATATTTTTATCCATAAAATGAAACATGCAAAGTAGAAAACATGTTTACTTCAACACCGGCTTAGATAACTTTGCAGGAAAACTATTTTTTAAATTCCTAAACAAATTTAATGTGACTAGTGGATGATGAATTCGTAATTGGTCATAATTTGAGATTCCAATTTTTCAATTTCAGGGTGTTTCAGGTCTCAAGTCCTTGGTGATAAGATGGGAGTCTTATTTAAACATCTGAGGAAGCAGGTTCTTGAAACATAAGGCTGAAGGCGGTACAAAGTTTCACCCTGAGCGATTTTTGCGGTCAACCTTGAAAACTGCTTAAATGACATTACTTCATTGCTTTTTATGAACGTGGAATTGAGAAGCGTACATAAAAAATTAACATGTTGTTACAAATTTACTTATTTTCCGCCTTTAATCACTGTTACCTGGTCTCGGTTCTGAAGTTGATGAACCATGCCAAAACAACAACCTACTAACAAACATTAAATCTTTCATTGGTTCTAACTCATCCAATTTCCAAACATATTTGAATGGTTTTGAACATTAAGAGGTACTTGATAATGCTCTTTCAGGCCATGCAGTCCAAATTGGAATATTCTAAAAATACGTTTTTGACGACTTATCACTTTTGTACTCTAATTCAAAGCTGGAGCCGAAAATTAAAAGCTGATATTGAAATACTTACGTTGACTTCTCCGAGCTGATTGGTAGGTATATGGCCGCTGTTTGTAGACTAGAAAATGTAAGAAGAGACATTGTTATTTTAACATGTGCTTTAAAACGGATAACACAAAGTGAATATAGGAACTAACGCAAGGTTGAATGGATTTGTTATGGAATGACGTAGTTCTCATTCAACAAGCTATGACTTCATTTACGATACAGGGAGGGACAGGAAATGAAAAAGACTTGGCAGTGAGGGCTGGGAAGTCATCATCTTTATGCTTAGTGTTCTTATTCAGACGAATAAGGACTTGGTAGGTTTGCCAGCATAGCAAATGGCCAAGAACTTGGTTAAGTTAGGAGAATGCTACATAGAAGAACACACTGTAGCTGAACACCAAAGCACAGCCTACAAATATCAGAAGCAACTACGAAATAATAGAAGAAGAAAAGCAAATTGTGTTTTTAGACAAAACAGAGCCAACCTTATCGGCTTATCAACCATGCAAAAAAATGTACTCAGCACCCAAAGGAAACACAGGCAGGTAGCATCTAGTGTTATACAATGAATAACAGTGGAGATCGATCACAGGCGTATATATATTGTCAGTCAATCGATTGCTGCAACCGTAATGCGTTTGTGAAGAGATTGCATTTTTGTTGATCAATTTAGCATCTGCAAATCTCTGCTTAGCTAAGGGTTGACAGGACCTATATGAATAGATTGCTGTACTACAGTAAAGGGCTCGAGCAACAGCAGGTTCACTACAAGAGGCACTTCCTTTACATATGAACACCATACAGAAACTTCAAACTTCAAACTTCAAACTGTTTGCAACTTCAAAAAGAAATATAGCTTAGCTTTTTCGAAGGGAAATTAGCTGCAGGAGCAATCCTTTGTTTATATAATGAGGAGGACAACAACCTCTTTTTTAAAACAATAGAAAATCACTTGGACTAGAAGGGTAATCGCCTACCTAGTTAATACGTGAAAAGGCCCTGCTTTGGAGGGAATCCCTGGTGTAACCCTTTCTGCCCTTTTTGGTGCTCTAGTGCCCAAAGGGGATCCACAAAAACATGATGGTCTTACCATGCTTTCCGCAGTACGTTTTGTCGGCTCCTTCAACCTGCTTGATCTGCGACATGACTTCAAATAAGTGCGAATTCTCTTCCTTGCTCGGTCACTAAATTCTGGGAACTGTCTCTGACAAGACACAATTATGGCGTTGATTTTCTCTTTTGGCTGCTTTGATATTGGCACCAGCCGATCAAGATTCTCGTCAACAAACAGTCGTACAAACATCTAGGTATAGATTTGCAAAATAACGATTAAATGTCGTTAGAGCAAAATTCATGGCATCTTATATGAAATGTATAAGTTTTGGAGCAGAAGGTGAGTTTTTAAAAACCAGACAGTTTTGCAAAGAGTTGACAGGTAAAAAGATTCTCTTTTCTAAGAAGATAAAGAAAAGAGATTGGACGGCAAATTCATTGAAAAAGCATGTTTTAAAAGGATAGTTCTATAATGTCAGGCTTTTAGAACATGCCCCCAACACTTTTACAGAGATCTGGGGCAAAATCTGAGATGAGGCCGCAGGTGACGTCACAATAACTGTTAATAGCCACGGTGAAATAACCTAGGGCTATGTCTTTAATAGATATAGAAATACGATTAAAAACTCATAAGTAGAATATCATTTCAATTTGCAGATATTTCCTTCTTCCAAAACTTTTTAAAAAACTTGATTTATAAAATAATGTCGTTTTTTAACTTTGCTGTGCATCAAAAAGTTGGTATATAAGTCAGGTACTGGTTAATTCAGCAAAAAATAACAGAAAACACTTAAAAGGCTAGGTACAAAGGAATACTATCCAACAACCTCTAGCGAAATTGCATTAGGTTTGACTGTTGGCAATATAACGCGTCTATGAATAAAAAGTTTGATACACGCTCAAAACAAGCGCAAGTTGAAGAAATATTCAAAACTTAAACACTTCCGCATTCACTTTTAAACTAAAAATTGTTTGCCTAACTTACGTTGAAAGCTTTTAGCCTCTCTGGGTTTATTTCCGAAGAAGAGGTTGTTTTCTTCCCCTCGAGGTCATTTTCTTCAAGATCATCATCGTCATCGTCGTCATTATCATCATCATCGTCTTTAGCTGCTGGCGAGCTTGCATTCACGTTGTTCATAATCTCGTTCAGATTTGGTGGCTCCTACAAGATCGAGGCTGGCTAATAAATTCTGCTACTAAGCTAAGCCATAATATTTAATAATAACACACGTGGAAATGGCATCGTTTCTAAAATTCATGGAAATTAACAACGTCCCACAGATAATAAAGCTACCACAATTGAAATATTAAGTAAGGGAAATCAAAGGCTCTCTTTAGACAATTACAAAAACTTTGTTTACGTCAGGTGGTGACCAACACTCTATAAAATACTCTTTTTTATTGTAAGGCGAAGATGGAGCTTCGCAGTTACCAATCATCTCTGGTTCAGCCAACAAGCGTCTTGAGCTTTTTTTCAAATTAACATGATATGAAATTAAAAACGGACCCGGTCATCTAAAAACGGAAAGCAATTATGAATAATGCCTTTTTCAGACAATAAAAACCATTCTCCACCAGGTTGATAATGCATAATTTATTCATGCACGTGAATTATTAAGTGGATTCTATCATATCCTTGAGGAAAATCAGACAAAATTATCCTAGCGAACAGATTTAGATTTAAGCCGTAACTTAAGGACACTGAACTTTCAATACGAGGTTGAAAATATTCACGCCTAAGAACTGATATTTAATACGAGGCTCTATACACAACTTCTTAGGCATTGCTTAAATTTGGTTTATTGTGATATGGGGTTTCTGAAATAAGTCTTCATTGATAGAATTGATAAATATTCTCAAAACCTTGAAAACTAACTACCTGTAGCTGGGAAGGTATTTTTTTAAATTTTACAGTGCTTCCTAGATCGAATTATGCAACTGAGCATGTGCAAATTATGACAATAAAATGCAATGTAATTATGATAATTATTGCAATATGCAGATTATGCAGCGAATATCAACTCACTCTTATTACTGGCTCCAGGTTAGCAGTAGTCCCATTTGTAGTTTGGTCATCTAAAAGTTTGTTGTTCTTTTCTGCGATCGCGTTGTCTGCAAAAAATCTAATTCGTAAACGATTTCCATTTCGCAAACAAGACTTATTAACAAACAGAACGATAAGAATAATGATGCTTGGTACGATATAAAATGATATCTAAAAGTAGCACGGAAAAAAGAAATCACTACATATTTTCGTAACTTTTGGCTGACAACCCTAAGAGTAAAAATATCGGATAAAATTAAAATTTTTGGTCACCAAAGAATACGCATATTATGATATCAATTAGAATAAATTGGTGGAAATGAACGAATCGCACTGTTGCCAAGGTTTTGTGTTTCTAGTTATAAATTGCTTCATGTTAGATATCTGAAACTTAAAAATAGAATTAAAATCTTCAAGTAAAATGAAACAAGAGCCGAAAATATGATAAAGACATACTTATGCTTCGACATGTGCCAGGGAGAGTAATGCCATGTCGCACTAAGAATTTTTCAACCCAGCCACTCGATGCCTTGAATTCTGGGCATTCAGGCTGTATCAGCAATAGTGCTTGTTTCTGCAGCATCTCCCGGGTCACGTTCACCCTATTCTCTTGGAACTTCTTCACCCAGTTCAGCAATCTTTCGTCAGTCTCGGTTGAGTAGCTCAGCCTTCTTCCGCTTCCTGATGGCTTCATTCTCTCTTTTTTCAAAGCAGTTGGTTTTGATGCAACTGCAAATAGGAAACAAAATCAGTTTATCATGACATTTCCTTTAAATTTTACGGTACCATCAAGGACCGACGGTGTTATGCAACCCCTTGACCCGAATATAATTTTCATATCTATGCTTTATAAACATAGACCTTTGCTTTGAATGAGAAAGAAGGTGAAAGATTCTACTATAAATTAGATAAAACATCATACAGGGTTGCCATTTGGCCGTTCTGACGGTCAAAAAACCTCCAATCTGGCCGTTTTACAAAGCTGTTGGCCGTCGAAAATTGATTTGGCTGAAAAAGCAAAAGTTGGCCGAATTTTGGCCACATGTTGAAAGCAACAAAAATACAAAGAAAACGACAATTTTTGCACAAAGAAATACGAAACATTCTGTTAAAATAATCTCAAAAATGCAAGAAATAAAATAAAGATAACGGAAAATTGAAATTGAAAGCAAGTGAGAATTTTGTAACAAACAACGCCAATTTTGATTACACTATAACTCAAAGGAATTAGCCAAAATGTAAATTTGTGTATATTTTGTTTGGCTGGCCGAAGTTGGCCGACAAGCGTAGAATATTTTGCCGCCAACCATTTCAAGCATCTGGCAACCCTGACATCATATTTCTGCACAATAACAATTTGCAGGACTGTACATGCACTAAAATGACCTTTAGTTTGAATAAAAAGGCCTTCAAATAATTGGTTTGCCTAGGAACCATAGATTATTATACGGATTGGGGGGCCAAATCCATGCTTCCTAGGATCTGGTCAACATGATTTCTTATGGTTCAAAGTAAAGTTATGAAAATTATGTGAGGGGGGAGGGGTTGAAGTTAGAGCCTGAATAGAATTACTTTTTCTCTACCATTCCATATCAGAAACATAATCCACTCAGCTAATCTTCTAGCAGACAAAGATGACAGAGTAATGACGTCAGAAAAATCTATTTTTAGAAATATCACCTTGTATCATACAATATGAAGAATCACCATTAATTACATTTAAATCGGCAAAACCGGCAAAATCCACAACTGATAAGAAGGAGAACATTTTGCAATTACGCTCTTTAGATTAACTGAAATTTCATTTCAGTGTATTTTTTATATTTGTTTGCTTGCAGTCTTTTAAAACGTTTCAATTTTGTCTGAAATATCAACCCCCCTCTGAGGAACTAATTTTATTGTCGATTTGCAATAATTCAAGACACCAATTTTTTTTACACTGGGGGGCTGCCCCCTTGCTATGCTACTTGGTAGGACAGGTTTTTCCCTCTATCAAATCACTTCAAATTGCAGTGGGTTAAAACTACCTCTGCCAGTTGGTAACATGTTCAACCAACTTTTCACAATTAAAAGTATTCAATGGTGCTCTTTTATGTTATGTGGTCCAAAGTTGAATATTCAAAAAGGCATATTTTCATGGTAAATTTTCAAAAAGGCCACTTTAAAGCTTTTTGCCATCAACCTCTAGGAGCATTTTGGGAGATGGAATCGGAATTCATTTTGCCTTTAATAGCTCTATGTGAATGGAATTTTTATGATTAAGTTAACAACGGACTAGGTTAACACAGATGGCAGAAAAAAAGAATACAGAAAAAATTTATTACTAGGTAAATCCAAACACAATAAGACTATAAATTAAAGTAAGAACTTTTCAATTTTACTCTACAATCATTTTCCTATACAGCTCTTCACTATCAACCATATAAGATACATATGAAAAGCAGAATTGGTTCACATCAAAATACTAAGGGGGACAGTTAATATATGTTACCAAGAGTCACTAAGCTAAATGAGAAAAGAGAAACAAAAAGAAATACCATCATTGAAAATGAAAGGTTGGGTTGGTTAGGTCACTTGATGACACTTTGATAGGCAAATACCAGTCAAGTTAGCCTTTTATGAATCACTGCAACAAGCATGTAGAAAGGGAGATGCCAGAAAGGCTTAGGTCCCCAGGGGGCTTATCAAATATTCAGGCTTCTAATGCAGGCACTGCAGAGCGTCGAGAAAAGTGGGGTCTAAAAAAGGTGGGAGAGGGGCTATAATCAAATCAAAATGGGCACCACTGATGATGCATTTCTTATTATTTTACAATTTTGCTAAAGCCATTACTCCACCCCCCTACTCCACCCACCCCCTGCTGGTGTCAACAGGGAGGGGGCCTAAAAAGAGAGAGTGACTTAATAGAGAGAGGGGTTAATCTGGAAAATATTTGTCAGCTATTTAATGGTTTATTTTGGTTTACCATAGAATATTTGTAAAGGAAGAGAAAACCTCTATAAACAACATAAATAAGTGATTAGGAATAGATATGAGCTTACTATGAATATTGATAGGACCAATTACCCCCTGATTGCGATGATGGAGGTGACAACGATAACAATTATGATAATTTTGACAATGATTATCATGATGCTGAATGCCCATTCAAAAAAATATGCAAGAAAATTGATTTGGAAAAAAATAACAAATTACCTTTACTTGGAAAGCTGTTTTTGTTCCTTTCAAATGGTGGTACACTTGTCACAGTTTCTGCTGGCTTATCTTCCTCTTTCACCAAAAAAGAATTCTTTTGATTTTCATCTTCAATAGAGTTTGGACTATCAGTCTGAAAGAAGAAAACCATTATTAAACAACACGTCTGCAATTTTTTATGTGAAAATTTTACTCTCTTTTTTTCTAATCTCTTTTCTATAAACTCAGTCATGCTCAAATGAACTGACACAAAGAGCTTCAGACAAAGAGGCATGGGAATGTAGATTAAATATAACTTTGTGTTATTTGCAAAGACTTTTTATTTACCCTTGCATCACCTTCTTAATCATTAAACATTCAGTTTTGATGTACAAAAGCCTCCAAAAATTGGGTTTGAAGGTTTGGAATGACTTTTTCTTTAAATAACTTTGACCATCCAATCTTAGATTCTTATCATAAGTTAAAAAAACGGATTGGGCACCACCACGGCACCTTCAATGGCTAAATAAGAAAGGTTTTAGGTTTTCATATTTGCATCAGAAATTTTGGATGAAATATTTTGCAGGGAACACCATTCTTTACATTAAAAGGATTTGTATAGAAAACAAAAAAGAAAAAATATCATGCTTTTAAATACAAGCAGGAATAATAGTGAATTGCAAACAACATCAAAGAGAATTTTAGCAACATTTTGTATGTACTATATAATATCTGCTACTTTATTGTTTTACAAAGAGAAACAAACAAAATACAAATATGATATTTGTCACTACTGGACAAAAGATTTAACAATACATTTAAACATATGTCTTCATATTTCATTAAGGTCATTGACATAGTAAAATACAAAAGTGTAATGATATTCTTGTGACATTGCTTCTGTTAGGGACCTGAAAAGACATATTCATAACACCATTGTTTCTTTGTAACTATGATATCTAACACCCAGATGAAAAAGATTGATCTTGTTATCATAGCTTTCTTAAAAAATGCTTAAAGGTTAAGTACAAAAAGGTTCCCTGTGAACCAGTTATCCAAGATTTTCACAAAGCAAAAGGAGAAATATCTTGGGTTTTCTCTTTGACCACATGAAAATGAGCAAACAAAAATCATTAGGTCATTGTACCAGATCATTTAGCATAAAATGTTTAATTCCACACATTCATTGTTGCAACAAATTAATAAACCATCACAACATTATAATGATCCTTTCAGCTTTGTTTTTGCTAAATAGAGCATACAAAAAGGTGTTTAGCTCTATACATCATCAAACACTTTGTGACAGACAGGGACGCTGGAACAACCAAGGTGCAAGGGTGGCAGTCTTCAGTAAAAGGGCATTTGAAAAATAATTCCCTGCTACCAACAATTATTTCGTAACTGTCATTTCGTTTCGATCTTTGATATGCATCTTGAAAATCAGCTAGCTTCTGGCATAACTTAATTCAAAATGGGAACTAAATTGAATTTTAACATATTTACAATAATTACAAACTGTAAATAGTAATTTTTGTTAGGTCTTTTAGCTAGATATCTTTACAACTTTTAAAACAGTATATTTTCAAGTTTCAAATAAAATGTTAGGGATGAAAACTGTGTTACAGGCAGTTACTAGCTACAGTGAAACTGAGATGTCTGATAGAATTATTTTACACTCTTTATTTTGTCTCTTCTTTTCTTATTTTATACACAAGGATAGCCCCAAACTCATTTTCATTTTACCAGTTACCTAATTCTTTGAATTCTACACAATTATTTAGCATTGTGTGGTGTTTCAAGCCTTTTTTCAAATAGCACACCCTATATATGATTAAGAATTAAACCAGAGATGCTGTGGAAGCTCAAGCAGTGGATACTCTAAATGACCATTTGAAAAATTCTGCACACCAATTATCAAAAGTTCATAGGAACAGCATTAATTGAATTAGTTTGGTAGAAGAAAATGCATCAGGGATATTGACATGACTTTGGTGTCATTTGAAGGTTCATATGATATCTGATATATGAAAATTACAGTTACAATTGCGTTAGAACAGGCAGCATGGAAAAGGGGGCCTGGGGGCTATAGCTCCCCCACTTTTTGCCAAAATGAAAAAATTTACCAATATATCACTAGTCAAGCCATTTTTTATTCAGTTAAAGCTCCCCTACTTTTTTTAGACCCCCCCCCCCCACTTTTTTCAACGCTCTGCTGTGCCTGCAGAAAGAGCTTGATACTGTATAGGCAGAGCTGTACACACTTTTTGGGGTGACAGTTCTAAGTCGATATTCTGAGTTTAGTGAGATTATCAGGCAATAACATAATATCTGGCAATAGATTGAAAACAGGAAGAAGATTGAACATAGCTCCAGTTCTCACAAACTGGTATTATCAACATAAATCTGGAAAATGCCCCCTTCAAAATCTACAGAAACTTCTAAGTTCAATGATTCTTCATTAAAGAGTGAAGACCCTTAGTTATAAAATATTTAGGGATGTCTTCTGCTGTTAATATTTTTCTTAGCAAATATCTTCCAATAGTTTAGACTTTAAAATGAACAGAAACAAAACAATGTCTAAAATAATCTAAGTTACAAAGTCAAACCATTAAACTTGCAATTAGATAGTTGAGAATGAATTAGTTTAGTGACCAGAGTGGATAATTCCAAACCTTATTTGTTTGTCTTGAAACAAATCGATTACTTTTTAAAAAAATTAAGAAAACCTAAGAAACACAAAAGATTAAAAAGAATCAAATTGTGGCTAAAGCTGTTTCTAAGGAAACATCTAATCTAAGATATCCAGGCTTTGCTATACATATAAACTGACTTTTATTGTTAAGCTTGCAAAAAATTCCCTGGCGAGCTTGGGGCAAATCCAGAGCGCCCTTCTCAGAACGAACTCTAAATTTGCAAACACTTGAAAAAGGATCTACGACAACCCCCCGGTTTTGACGAACAAGGCACGCTCCATGAATAATTGATCGTCTTAAACATCCTGCACTAGCGAAAACCCAAGCCAATAAAAATGCCAATATTTCAGGAGATAAAAACAGATATAGGGAATAAAATAAAACTAAAGAAGTAAAATTCCCCTTTACTTTCGATTTATACGACTTTTATCTCTTGGTTGCTCCAGTACCTGGGAGTAAAAGGTTATTGTTGCAGAATTGAAAAGTTCATAACGTTACATAAACATCTAAGTAATTCTGTCAAAATGGCAATTTCGATTAAAATATAGAACACCAGAGGTCAACAAGTCTAAAAAGTATTTTACAGGCTTATATAAAAGCTAGTGACCGGGTATTTCCCCCAAAAGAACAAACCATTTAGACGCCGGAAGCGAAAGTTAGAACAAATAGATAAGTACATTATTTCGCGTTTAATAAGGATCGTAGAAAATCTCCTATTTTGAACCATTTGGAAATTTACTGCCTAAGTAACTAACACGCGTGGTTGAAGAATCTGATGATTCCAGGTGTTTGATACAAAAGGAGCTCGTTTAACGACTGTGGTGGTACTTCTTATCATTTGTATAATTCAATTTGAATCATAAATTGCTAACAAATTGGAGATATCATGTATCTCAAACTTGTTATTAACACCATATAATAATAAGGCTAGAATTTGGCAAAATTTCACAGAGCAATGCTTCTGGCCTTGAAGAAATAAGAACCGTCTAGCGAACAATATCCCCCTCCTTATAATGCGACGTGTTGATACAGGCAGACTTTTGGTCTCTTTAATCCAGATCTGTCACTACTTGCCATCCTTTTTTGGCATCTCAATTCTTAAACTGTAAAATCTGACGAAAATAATCTGAAAATTATAGTAGAGGAAGCACTTTGGTTTATTTTCAGGAACGATGCCGGATGTGTTGATACACCCTATTTCTCTAACATCAGAGCCTGGTCCCTTCCTCTCCTTCAAGTTGCCCACTCATTTCATAATGAAAAATCACTAAAACTAATCAATAAGTACGTTTAATAAGAGAACAGACCTTAAGGCATCTTTTAACAGAATTTCAAGCTTCATTAAACGATAAAACGAACCTACCTTTCCGGCAACTGTGGACGTACGATTGACCTCAGACAATGTCGCGGCCATCTTGAAAGTAGGTACACAATATTTTCCGTCTCCTTGCTTCTGAATTCAATTAAGAGTTCCTGGCATAGGCAGCTAAATCTCAGAAGCATTAACGGTGATAAATAATACCAAGAGCATTAGGCTTGTTGATACGCTTCAGACCCGTTGAACGTTCCTGAAAAGAGAGGGGCAACACGACAGCACCTTTCTCTTGCCCCTTCTTTGTTGTTGCCCATGGTCACGTGATTACAAAAATCACGTGACATGAGAGAGAACAAAGGCCATACGCGATAGAGAATGGGTACATTGCTTTGCCACCCGTTCTTTTTCATCTGTTCGCAAGTCTTCCAAGGTGACATTAGAGAGAACAGGCTCCAGGGGGTCGTAGTTGCTCAGTTAGAGATGCCAGTTGAAAAGCGCAGGTTTCACAGAGAGAGAGAGAATGAGGGCGTATTGAGGAAATGAAGAAAAAACCTATTGCCATAGTTCGATTAGGATCAGATGTATTTTGAGAATCAGATGCATTTTTAAACAAGCCTTCGTTAGATTGTCTACAATTTGATTGCCTTGCCTTTTAGAAACCGTGGTAACGAAAAATATATCTTAATATTCCGGAATCTTCCCGTTTGTTCTTATCAAAACACTCCTCTTTGCAAGGGTCGATTGTTACTAAATTAGTTTTTCCTGTGTCGTTGATGTAAATTTCTATTAGCAAGTTCAGAAGTGCGGACGCTTGGTTTTTGCAGTTAATAATGCAACAATGTAACTTAACAATCAAATTGTCTCGGCTTTTTAAGGCCCCATAACCACAAGCTTTTGACATCTTTCAATATTGCTAGTTACACCAACTATACAAGTTTTCATGAAATTTATTACATAAAATAACTGGCTAAAATAAAACAAAATGATAAAGACAAACGTGAAAAAAACATTTAAAATAGTGTTGCTTTTCTGTCAAATTTTAAAATCACTTGCATGCAGTGTGGATAAACGAAGCATTCGATAGTGAAAAATAGAGTGATTTGACATTGCTTTATTTATCACTTGGCGGTGGCCCAAAGAACACCA